TTTCAACTAAAAATCTCTTCTGTGTCCACTTCCAATATTACCTGGAAGTGGACCGAGTAAAGAGTAAACACAGAACATTTGTTTTAACCTGACAATGGACTAAAATGCAACCTCAAAAACGGCCCAGAGTGCTACCAGTGTTCCCACTACCTCCCTGCTGGGGGTGTGGCCTATTCCCTCAGGCGGGCGATAAAAATATGTTATTCTCATGCACTGTTTCATTTCAGCGCAGTGTGTCACTCTCACTGCTTTTGCTGACATTTATGGAGGTGAACTGTACTCTCCCCAGCTCGGCTCACAGCGTTAGTGTTTATGGGACAGTTGAATTAATTATACTGCATTACACTAAGTGGAATAAAAGCTTCTCAATAAGTGTCAATTTGTCTAAAATAACTATAGACTGACTATCGATTTCAGATTTGCGTTTGGGAAAAGTGCTTTCCGTTCGTTTTTATCCATTCGCAAGACAAACTGCAATGTAGTGTGGGAGGGAGAGAGCATAAGCAAAAGCATAAGACTAATCGGGGCAAAAACACAATCATATGACTGGATCTTCTGCAGCTCATGCCAAACTTGTTAATACAGTCAGTAAACAAGGGTGAGGAGGAGTGGCTCACAGCGGAAAATGGAGACAAGAGGCAAAAACAACAAACGAGACGGTTAGATACGCCATAAATGGGACCAACTGGTTTCCTACCACTCTCAGCTGATGCACCTGCAGGTACAGACCGAGCAGAGAATGCATACTTACACTAGTAACTCGTCTGTAGATCTGGGCAGCGTTTTGGCATTCGGAGTAGGGGTACTCTGAGGTAGCCATCTCCAGCATACACATCCCAAAAGCATAGACGTCTACAGATTCATCATACTTTTCCTCGTACATCTCTGGAGCCATAAACTCTGGTGTACCTGGTGATTAGAAAGTGGAGAAAAACATGTATGTTATGCTAGGACATGCTCCTAACTTGCACACCATGATGTACAAATACTGTAAAAATGATAAAACATAAAATCAGAGATTGAAATCTAATAAACTCCAGCTGGAAATAAAAGGGCTAAAATTTCAAACCTGCATCCACTTAGTGCTGCCACAGACTCAGTTTGTGGAAGTGAAGCCTGAATACTTGAGGTTTGTCTAATTGCTACAAAGAAGCAGTGAGATTTACTGAGCTTCTCATTCTTGTCTCAAGTGCAGAGAAGAGTGTATATTTACGTACTTGGTGCGAGCAGAGCTTGAATACCTGTGGTCAGCTGTACAACAAAACTACTGAAAGGTACCCAGGTTATTATGAGGGAAAACTGCAGGCTCAAAGTATGTGTCATAAACATTGTCCGAGTGCGGTGCACTTTCGGTTTATGTGTTTGTAACGGTTACATTTCCAGACAACTTAATCCCAACTTACTAACAGTTTCTTTGGAAGCCGTATCACTTTTCACATGCCTGTGGTTTGCTTTAACAACCAGACATTTTTCAAGTAGTAAAATTTATCTACGGTGGGCGTGTACATAATGTGCCTGTGCATGTAAAGTGGTTATTATCGCTGCAGCGAGCTCAAATAAAAGATCCCAGTTATTTCAGTTTCGCAGCCTTCGCAAACCACATTTGTGTGTCTTAGCATTTCTGAGAATTTGGGATGCTGCGTATGCACCGTCCTACCTATGACACTCTTGGCAAAAGAGGCTCTCTTCAGCGTGGCCAACCCCAGGTCCCCTATCTTCACTGAGCCCGTGGGCCCTGTGATAAAGATGTTGTCGCATTTCAGGTCTCTGTGAATGATGGGTGGCGCTCTGGTGTGCAGGAAGTGAAGGCCTTTCAGGATCTGTCTGCACCATGAACGCAGAACTTTGATTTTCATCACCTTGAATCGCTTCAGGTAGCTGCAGGACAAAGAAATCTCACATAAGAAACTGTGTGTTTTGCAAAGCAAGAGAAAGTGGTGACGATTATGCGCACAGGAGGAGATTCAGCTCTTGTATCTTGTTCAAGTGACCTTTGTTCCGGCATGCTAGCTGCCAGCATATGGCCTCTCAGAATATCACACTGTGTAAAACCACTAGCTACAGAAAATCACTTTTTTTAATGCAGCTGCTCTACTCTGCATAAAAAACTATGAAAGACACAGCTATGCAAGGACCGAATAAGGGAGTAAAAAAGCAGAAGCATGTAGTGCTGCACAGAAATGTCTGAAAGCAGCTGTAGAGTCAATGAGCAGCCAGCACTCTGTCTTTATGCAGCAGATTGTTATTTACTTGTTTTCTCCGAAGGCAACTGTACACAGCAATCAAAAGGTTTCGACTACTGTCCCGTACATGCAACAGGTGCCAGCACCGGCTTCTATGAATCAGGATTGTATCTTACGTTGCTTATAATTCAGTCAGATCTACTTCTGCATCATTCTTTTTTCTCTCTCTCCACTAAACTTGGAACACATCCCAGCGAACACCCTGCGGAAAGCAGGGAAACACCCTTTGACAGGTTGCCAGGCCATCATAGATCCAACTCAGATCCACACCTGTGGGTGATTGAGTCGATCCACCTGGTTTGTAAGTCTTTGGAATGTGCGAGGAAAATGAGAGGAAATTCCACAGGAATGTTACAACAGAACAGCAAAGTACTGTGAATCTAGACTGAACATTTCTCCTATTCTTAGCAAAGCACTGCACTTGATTGACTTTTTTTTTTTTTTTTGATTAAATCAGAGGCAGTTCTTGTTATTTCCAAGAGCTCTAAGAACTCACTCAGAAAACATTTGTCTGTCTTGATTAGCTGACTGAAAATCAATTCAACTCTACAGAGAAATGTGCGTCTTCCTCTTCTCGGTATTGTGACAAATGTGACCAATGAGCACAGTAGGCAGGGCGTACTCCTGAGATCAACCGCCCCGTGAGTCTTCTTCATGGTGTGCTAATTTCACAGCCTTAAAGCAGGCAGAGGAGCTAAGTAATCGTGGCTTTGATCTAATTAGTGTATTTAATTCAATATCCAAGCTTAGCTCAGAAATGTCCCTGTGGAGCTGGTGAATAGCAGGCAGCTGACTGAACTATAGACTGACTCTGCAAACAATGTTTCTGTCTCAGCCAGCAATGCCCTCTTCCAGCTCCGCTTTTAGACAGCTGACCCGATGCAGAGCGACATCAATAAGTCTGACTCCAGCATTACCGTCAGCTCCATGGTGTCACTGGCTGCTCTAATAATTCAGCACCTGCAACTCTGTCCTAACTGACAAGTAATTCTCACATAACACCGTGTGAGCATTACAGCATAATAGAGCGGTGTGCTTAAGCCACATCCAGACTGCTGTGTTACAGCCACAGAGGCTCAACAACTTTTAGCTGTGACCCAGTATCTTTGACGGAGCAGAAAGCATCCATTAACGAGCAATGGAAAGTACACTCACTGAGTGCTGGGCTTAACTGAGCATTTCCATTTGGTGCCACTTTATACCTCTACTCAACTTCTTCCCAGAGAAAAACACTGGATAGTTTGCATGTTCTCCCTGTGCTTGTGTGGATTCCCTTCAGGTTCTCCAGCTTCCTCCCACAGTCCAAAGACATGCTGGTTACATATGTGCTTATAAATTGGCTGTAGGTGTGAATATGAGTGTGAATCTTTGTCTGTCTCTCCTATGTTAGCCCTTTGATAGATCTTAAGATAAAGATAAATCTTCCCAGGGTGCATCCTGTCTCGCGACAGCTGGGATAGACTCCACCCCCCTGTGAACCGGATAGATGGGTGAACAGATAGATGGGTAATTATTAAAAAACAACTTTAATTCAGCTATTCTGCTATATAGTAAAGTCTTTACCCTGATTTTTAACACTCAGAGTCTTCTATATGCTTCTTATTTTAATCCTCTAACCGCTTTTCTATGGTTTGTCATTAAAAGCCTTAAAAATCTGGGTAAATTCAATTTGTTTTTCACAGGGAGATGGTTTTCAGTGTGCAGAGCATAAATACTAATTTTAGGGACTATTAAAGTGAACAAACCTTTAAATGTGCATGTGAATAACTTAAGTTCTCTCTATCATACGGCATCTCTCCTGCTACCTCTGATGTCTCTCTTAAGAAGCCACGCGCCTTATCCTCTTCTTCCCCCTTACCTAAATCCCCTCCTCGCCCGTCCCCTGTGCTTTCTTTCTTCTGTCGTTCTGAACTCAGAACAGCGTTGAAAGACAGGGAAAATGCTGTGGCATGCAGCGCTAGAGTGACGCTGCAACAAAGCATCGAGCGAGCTTGCACGCTCACTCAGCCACGCTATGTTTCCAAGCACGCAAATTAGCACTTGTAGATACACGAACGTGCGGCTCTCATGAGCAGTAAATACAGTTTTTATTATTTGTGAACAGACAAGTATTCTTCCGAAAATAAACCTTTAGTAAAACAGAAAGATGACAGCAGTATAAACATTTCTTACACACACAGATGCACACAGATAAGGGCACTCCATGGTGGCAAGTATTTCCATCCTATCTTCCTCGACCTATCGCCGCCACCCCCACCCTCCCATCATCTCCCTTTCTTTTTCCATCTCTTCAGCGTGCAGCGGTCCCTCTCCTTTCTGAGTATTTTTCTGGATGACGGCCAAACCCCTCGGATGCCTTGATCCTCTTCATAAGGGCACGTCCATCCGCTCCATATAGTCTTAAACAAAGACACCTTGTTGTGTCGATCAACAAAAAGTTAATCAGCAACAATTTTGATATAAAATTATTCTTTTGCAAGTGAATTTTTTTCCCTCACTGGTTCCAGTTTTTCAAATGGGAGTGTCTTCTGTTAAACACGATGTTGCGTCTTTGTTTCAATACGTGCATAAAAACACATTAATGGAAAATAAAGGTAACCAGAATTGCAATCCTGATATCATGTATGCATCGTGTATCTGTAAGAGTTCAGTGCACTGCTTGTTACATGTTACTACTTTGGAGTATAGTATAGTTGTTTGGCACACACACTTCTGGATCCAAGCAGTTTTTTGGATTTTCTGACCGAGGTCTTTTCTGAATATTTAATTTAATCATGTATAATTCAAAAAGAAGAAAAAAGATACAGCTCTTCTTCTCTCTTTTTTTTTTTCTTTCTCACTCAGTAGGTAGTGGGGAGTTCCAAAAAAAGTTGGAAAATAGAAAACTATATTTGCTAAATGTGTGTTTATTCTATGGTGTATGCAGAGGACTGAGCGTGTCTGCGCAGCTTCTCTGTTAAAAAAAAAGTATGACATTTTTGTAGTCCTCCAGTGGAGGGCGCTACGGTCCTTGTTAGTGCTGTTAGTGCTTTGCTCACAGGTTTGTCACTTCACCGAGCGGCTTTCAAACTGTACGTCTAAGTATCCGTTTGTCTATTCATCAGAATATTTGCGCATAACTCTCTCACACTGTAGTCTTCTGTCTCCCTCTCTGTCACTTTAACCTAAACTAAGTGGACGATGACCAGTGTCACTCCTGAATGATGTCGGGAATGAGAGGAATGCGCAGCAGAAGCAGCAGCTGGCAGGTGGGCCAGTGTCGCATGATGTACTGTATGACGCAGGCTGTGTCACCCCACGTTTAGCCTTCTGTTGTGTCAGGAGCTCAACAATAGCATTGACAAACACAGATGCACATCTATTCTAATCGGCAAAGAGGCTGGCATTCAGTCGCGGCATGTGGGGTGACAGTCTGAGAGGCAGACACTGACAACTGCCCGTTGAGCTGGCAGGCCACTGACGTACAGTTTGTCACATATGTACGCTGAAAATGACTCCAAACACGTTGATGAACATAACAGTGTTGACACACCCTCAAACTTTTCAAATGCCAATCAGACTCACAGAGGCCCCCAGGCTGAGAGTGGAACCTCACAGGATCCCCACATGTGTTGTGTCTTTTGCCCTGATAAGATCGAGCCATTTTCGGCGACACGAATGGGACCGCAGCAGTTTTATCCAACTGTTTGGTGTCCAAAAAGATAAATAAATAAAAACTCAAAAACTGCATCAGAGTTTTGATGATTCTGCGTCATTTCACCCTTTGTGGTGATGTAAGTGACATAAATACCGTACTTAACACAGGCGGGCTGGCTGACTCACAGCTGCAATCAGCACTGAAACAT